CACCTTTTTAAAGTATACAACTTAGCAGTTTTGGTATAGTCATAAGATTGTGCCACTATCACCATGATCTAATTCCGGAATATTTTCATCATCCCAAAAAGAAACCCTGTACGTTTTAGCAGTCACTCCTCATTCCACCCTTCCCCCAGCCCCTGACAACCACTAATCTACTCACTATCTCTTTGGATTTGCCTATTCTGGGCATTTCATATAAATGGAATCATACAATGTATGCCCTTTTGTGTCTGGCTTCTTTCACTTAGCATAGTATCTTAAGGTTCATCCATGTTGTAGCATGAATCAGTATTGAATCATATTAAGTACAAAATGATATTCCATCATATGGGTTAATAATAAGGCTAAATAATATTTCATTTATGGATATATAACATTTTATTCATCCATTCACCATGTGATGGACATTTAGGTTGCTTCCACTTTTTGGCTATTATAAATAATGCTGCTATGAACATTCCTGTATGAGTTTTTAATATAAACATATGTTTTCTATTCTCGGGTATATTAATACATCTAGGAGTAGAATTTTTGGGTCACGTGGGTCAGGTTAAACTCTGTTTAAGTTTTTGAGGAACTGCCCACTCATTATTTTTAGTTTCTTTCCTGAGAAATTTTTCCTCCTCTTTGGAAATTCAGAGCAGTGATTCTGGGGTTGGGGTGATGGGTGCTTTTTTCAACTTCAGATGTCCTTCCAGAGATTTAATGTTTAAGATAACTTCTTTAAAGCCTAGCATGGTACTCCTCTTTTGACCTGAGAATAAATACTAAGATGGTCTGACCTAGCAGAATAGTTCTTTTCATTTTTGTTTAGTGGATTTCAGTGCTTTTAGTTTTCTTTTTGGTCCAATTAAAGAGATTGTTGGCAACCTTAGTTGTTTTAGGAGATTGGAATGCTTCCCAACTGGGATGTTATTTATCATTATCTAATGGCTTACAAGGAGAACTGGGAATCCATTCAACAAATAAAGGGTTTTTTTCATCTTAAAAAAATCATGGAGAAAATGACCCTAAATGTAGCATTAGTCATATTCCTTTAAATGGAAGAAAATATAAAAATGAATTTTGGCAGTATAATTATTTTAAAGATGTGATGGCAAATCTAGACAAAGCCACGGGAATAAAATTTGTTTAGATATTATTTTAATATCTATAATAATTGCTTTTTCCTACCTGATGGGACAAAAATAAAAAATTTGAGTATCTAGTTCAAGCATCTTTAGTCACAGGTGAGAAGATCTTTTAATATCTTAAGAAGCTAAAGAAATATAAAATTCAATCAAAGATAAGAGTTGGAGTAAGGGTTGCAGAATTCTGTGGCATATTAGCAAAATTAAATAACATTTAACTTAGATTAAGTAATCAAAGGCTGTAGGCTACAAGGACTGTGAGATCAACCCTGTCTTTAAGTTATAAAGTCCTTACTGTACAAAATAAACAATAGAGTCATTGAGAAGAATCCAGGTATGTCCTAGCTGAAATCTCTGATAATAGTGAAACTTTGATCAGCTAAAGTGATCACCAAAAATGCCTCAGGATGATACAACTGTTTCAATAAGGGGTATGCAGCTTTAACCCTAGGGAGATTTAGAATAAAGTATAAAAATATTTGAGAATCAAACTCATGGAATTAATGGCTTTATGCTAAAGAGGTAGTATATATTTATTTCATATACTCATTAGAGTAACATGTCAGCCTTCTAATTCCATTTTTAAAGTTATAATTAATTATTCTTGTGATTGTTAAATAGAAATCTTATTAAATTTGTATACATTATATCAGTATTTACAAAAACTTAAGCGTTACCATATTTATACATTTCATTTATTAGATTTATAAAAACTGCTTTAAGTACCTGGAAACTTTTGTGATAGAAGTGAAATGTCTAAAGTAAATAGACTCTCTCAGGGTATTTAACTAAGTATGTAAATGTGACCAAATATTATTCCAAACTCTTTAAAATAATTTTTGGTTAAATGATAGACATTGTAAATGTAATATTGTTAAATGCTTGATTGTTTTGTTTTATGTAGTATTGGACTTTGTTCTCGTAGGCAGTTATTTGTGGATTAGCTTGAGCTTTATAAGGCTTGACTTGAAGCTTTATTGGGGCAGAATCTAGAGCAAACATTGCTCTAGGGCCAGCCCTACTACTAAGATGTGACCCTTGTTGGGTCTCTACTGAGTGCTCTTGGTGTTCAAAGAGGCCTCTCCTCTTTAAGGAGTTAGATCTTGAATGACTTCCAGCCCTAAGTAAACTCTGGGAATTTCTCCCCAGTTACTCTTGACCTAGCCTTGTGGAATTCACCCTAAACACGCATGGCTTAGCATGCAGTTCTCAAGTTCTTTCTCTGATAGCTTCCTTTTCTCCAGTATTCTCCCCTGTAAATTCCTGCTGCCTCAGCCTCACTCTGCCAGAGTTCTCCTCCCTCAGCTGTGGGCTATATAGGCCTTTAGTCAAAAAGCTGGGGCTATTGTAGGGATAATCTTATTTCTCTCCTTTCTCTCAGGAATCAGAGTCTTGCAATGCCTGTTGCCTAGTGTCTGAAAACAGTTGAGATACACACACTCATGTGCACATACACGTAAATCTTCTAGTTATTTCTGAAAGCATATTTAAAATTTTGTTTAGAGATGGCATACGTCATGTCTTCAAAGCCAGACAAATGGCCATACCCAAAGTCATCGAGGCAGAGAGTTGACTCTCTCTATAGGAAAGCCTATCAAGAATGGG